GCAGTCCTCCTTCACCCAGCAGTCCTCCATCACCCAGCAGTCCTCCTTCACCCAGCAGTCCTCCATCACCCAGCAGTCCTCCTTCACCCAGCAGTCCTCCTTCACCCAGAAGACCATCAAGACCAAGTAGACTTCCATTGCCCAGGAGACCTCCATTTCCAAGCAGCCCTGTGCCAAGCAGACCTTTCGCTCCAAGAAGGCTTTTATTGCCAAGGAGGCCATTGCTGAGGAGACCATTGCCGAGGAGACCATTGCCAAGGCCTTCCCCACCAAGGATGCCTGTGCCGAGCAGACCACTGCTTCCAGGTTGCCCTCCTGCAACAATCAGATGTCCATTACTGTTCTGGTTTTCATTGCCAAGAAGCCCTCCTCTCCCAAGCGCACCCATGCCAAGCCGACCTTCCTCACCTAAAAGGCCTGTGCCAAGGACCCCAGATCTGCTGGATTCATTTTCTGCAGCAAGGGGACCTCTGCTTTCTTCTCCACTCGGACTTCCTCTGCCAAGGAGGCCAGTACCAAGTAGCCCACCTTCACCAAGAAGGCCTGTGCCAAGCAATCCATCTTTTCTGCTGATGAGACCCTCACTGCCGAGAAGACCAGTACCAAGCAGACCTGCACCAAGGAAGCCCCAGTTACTAATCAGACTTTCACTGTTGGAAAGATTTCATTGACAAGAAAGGTTGGTTCAGCTACATTAGGCTGACCTTCGTGAGGTTTCACGGGGACCCCTGAGCATCCTTGCTCAAAGTTGGGTACCCCGTGGAGCCGAGCCTGCCAGAAGGCAGGTCCCTGATGAGCAGAGGGACGCTCCACAAGCCCGACATGGCACAGGACACACCAGGACCGAGGCAGGCACAGCTGCCTGTGCCACAACATTCCCTGAGAAACACGGAAAACCTCCGAGCTCACCGTCTTTGGGTTGCGCTGGGCTCAGCCCAAGGATACTGCCCAGGTTGAGGAGGCCCTGGGAGGGGGGCAGGAAGCTCCCAAGGAGGACGAGACACCAGAAATGCAGCATCTCTGGTCCCAGCACCTGTGGAGAGACCCACATCAGCCCAAGCACCAGCCCCACCATGCGGGAATCAGCAGCCTGGACACCGGTCCGGCTCTCCATCCTTCATGTGTGCTGCCCCGCGGTACCCCTGGACATGCAGCCCCCAGGCACTGTCCCCCAGCCCCAAGGGACCAGCTGGGACCCACAGCACCCTTTTCCCACCCAGAAAGGTCAAACTGCTTCTGGTTATCAGGGATCAACTGGAGCACGGCCACGTGTTCCTCCCGAGTCATTGGTGTCTCCATGCCCGGCTGGGCTACCCCGCTGCAGAGCTGGGTGCCTGACATTGCAGGGAAGCTTGGAGGGAGAAAATGCCGCTTTAAAGAGAGCAAGAGTGATGGCGATGAGGCAGGAGGACCTTGTACCGAGCGAGACAGATGGCTTCCAACCACTCCGAAATGGCCCTGAAAGAAGAACACTCAAAGGGGCACAGCCGGATAAAAAATGGTGTGTGTCAAAGTCGTGTCCTTCTCCCCGTTATGAAGAACACCTTGCGTTATTAAAGCTCAAAGCGCAGCTAAAATCAGACTCACTTTTCTGTGGGCAGATTGTTTGTTTTTCTCATCTTGCTCCATTCAGGCTATGAAGAGAGTCCACTTTCCCTGTATTTGATCTGCCTCTGGTCAAAAGAAAGTGGCTTCAAGGACGTCGTGTTTCCGTGTGAGCTGGACTTCTTGGGGTTGCAGCCGACATTGTGGAGTGTTTGTTTATGCACAAAAAGGTGTTTGCAAAGAAATGAAAAAAGGCACCCGCGGAAGCACTGCCGTGGTCCCAGTTTAAGGGAGCCCGCGCCTGCACAGCCCGCGTCCTGGGCCGGGCACCCCGGCTTGTCTCTTCTGAGAAAAACAGTGTACGGGCTGCAGATTTGAGGTTCAGCACTGAGGTACAACGTTATTTAGGTCAGGCTGAACAACTTTATCTGTTCCAGATACTTTAAAAAAAATCCCTCTATGACAGTTCTTGGCACAATTAAATTAGACTTTAATTCACTAGACTGTCTTTTACATTTTCCCTTTGATCAGCATGTAATGATGCACAGCTCCTGTAGCTGTGATTATTGAACAGGAGAGAAAGATAGAGGCTTGAGCAGCTCCCATTGAAAATCGTGTCAAATAAAATCAGTGGGATTTGTTGGAGGGTCTCTGCAAGACGTGCGCAGCATTGCAAAAGGGTGCCAAAATGGTTTTCAGGTCTTTTAGAAGAGCTCTTAGGGAGGATACGTGACAAAGTAGACAACTGTCTCTGCAGTCATTCACGGTATCTATCGGGTTGATACCTCCTTGGTCACACATGTTTAAGTGAGCTGAACATCTTGTAGATGCAAAACGCATGGCTTTGCTTATTTTATACCAGCTGAGATGAGATATTGTAAGCTGAAAATCGTTCTGAATTCTGGTCACCAAGATCATAAAAAATATCCTACTCATTTCTGCTAGCTTAGTCATTATAACAAACCTAACAACAACAAAAATAAATGTGGAATTTGACAAGCAAGAGCTCTACTAGCTTTAAAAATTAATTTTCATAAATTATTAAATGCTGCTACAGAAATCAAAGGAAAACATCATTAAAATTCTTGCTTTTAAAGCCGAGTTACACTTTGCTGTAGGTCGTCTAATGGGACCGGGAGCTCTGTGGCCACGGTGCCTTAACGCCACTTACCTGGAGCCCTTTGATGTCGCGGCGCAGCTGCCCACGGCCTCGCAGTGGCGGCCGGCGGGAGCAGCTCTTATATACCCGCGCTGCAGGAACAGGGGAAGTCCAGGGAAGGATGAAGCAGGAATAGTTCCTCTTCGCCGGCTGTGAAGTGTGAACCCTGCACCAGCATGACCCCGAACGCTCACGTAGCAGCGTCGGACCGCGGCCAGCAGCACCCACCAAGCCCGGTGGCTCGGCTCCTTGCCCTCGGGCTGGGTGCGGTGCCCTGCCTGGCCGGGGCACGCTGCCACCCCGCTCCCCGGGGCTTGTCCCCTCCAGCCCGGGTGACAGCACACGCCTGGGAGGAGGGACCAGCAGGGCAGCCCCCCGCAGCCCCTGGGTGCTGGGGCAGGGGCTCACAGCCCCGGGCAGGGGATGCTCTGGATCAGGTCCCATCCAGCCCGGCACCATGCAGCTCCTTGCACATGGCCCAGCGTGGCTGGCCATGGCTGTGGTAGGGACATGGGCTGTGGCATGGGTGGCTGCTGCTGCTCACATCTACTCGGTGTCTCTCTCGCCTTGCTCTCCCAGAGCGGCCCAGAGCGGAGCAGGAGGGTGCTGGCACCCGACAGCCCCTGGCTGCAAATCCTCCCTGCGCACCCGGCCCCGCTGGAAGCCCCAGACCCCACCATGATGGCAGTCACCAGAACCGTGTGTGCCGCAGGCGCCCGGCGGCTCCGGTGCAGATGGTGCTGTGCTTTGCAGGCAACAGCGGGTACCAGCTCGCAGCTCCGGCAGCAGCAGCGTCCAGCCCAGGGCAGCCCTTGCTGCCAAGGCAGAGAGGTGGAAGTCTGTGATCCCTCCCTCGCCTCCCTCTCGCCTCTGCATCTCCGAATTTCCATGGGCCACACAGACCCCAGGCCATCCCCTGAGCATCGCGGTTCCTATGAGACAGCCTCGGAGCAGCCACGGCGAAGGGGGATGCCACGGGGGCTGGGGATGCTCCCGGGCCTCTGGCTGAGCAGAGGGTCCCAGGGACAGTTTGGGGCAGCTCCTCTCCAGGGGATGCTCCGTCATATTCAGCAGGGCACAAGGGTCTGAGGACAGTGAGAGGAGAGCAATTACCTCCCAACGAGGTAATGATGTACAGAAACAGCACAAGGCTGATTAAAGAAAAATTATCACAAACTGAAGAGTGTGTGGGTTTATGGCATACCAGCTGCACCGTGAAAACTGCCTGTCACCCTGAGGGACACAGGAGCTGGCTTGTGCCTCCCAGAAAGATCTTGGCAGTTTAAAGGAGGCTTGAGAGACAACAAATAAAAGAAAATGAGCAAATAAATACAGAGGAGAAGGGGAAAGGAGCATGAAAGATGACAGAAGAACCTGAATCTGAGGTTCCAGGGGGTTTTCAGGGCAGATCTGGACTGGACAGGGGCAGGACAGTCTCAAAGGCAGCAACATTACAGGCGTCCCAGCTATTCCCTTTCACCCCAGGAGCAATCGATGGCTTTAGAGCCTTAAATTAGCAAAAGCTTCATTGCTTCAACAGGCACCTGAACCGCAGGGAAGAGCCCGTGCATAAATAAACTGTGTGGTTCATGCCGAGTTCACAGGCATTGATGGGTGAGTTACCCCGGCCATGCGGCACGACCGCTCATGGGCCAGGGGAGCTCGTCGGGCTTCCCAGGTGCGCCCAGGACAAAGCTCTGGTAAAGCCCGGGGCAGGTAATGGTGTGAGGGGTCCTCAGGATAAACAAGAGACTCCACAGCTTTGGGTCCAGGCCCTGAAGAGAGGCTGACATCTCTGGGTTTGCCAGCAGACCGCTCTCTGCCCACCCTGAGCTGGGTGCCGGGTGGGCACAGCCAGGGCTGGGCAAGCGGGCAGGGGGCTGCAGCCCTCCCACCCACCGCAGCCAGGGTGCCCAGCACAGCAGGGTCTGTCCTGAGTCCCCGGGGTTCGCCAGAGCCAGCCACCCCCACAGGCTCGAGCACCCGCTGCGGCTGCAGAGAGGGCTGGACTTTATTAAACCCAAGCATGAGAATGCAAAATACACCCACGTCCTTCCCAGCATCCACAAAAGAGTCCAAAACACAACGTTTGGAGGCAAAAACCACCTGCGTTCCTTCTGTTCCAAGCCATGTAGGCAGGATGCAACACTTGCAAGGAAAAGACCAAGCTGCTGCTTTGCTGTGTTAGGTACAAAGAGAAATGCGGTGGAGCATTGTTCGGGCAGGCTGGGCTCCAGTCCCTCAGGAGGCAGATGGGGAAAACCAGGGCTGTCCCCTCCCAGCCCGCGTCCCCAGCTCACACCGACAGCACGATGAGGTCCTGGTGAAGCAAAGGGGTCACCTTCCCTCTCTGAGCATCCTCTGCACAAGTGACGGGCGCTGCCTTTGCTCCAGAGCGGAGCTGAGGTGCTGGCAGGGGAACCTCAGGGCACGGCCCGGGCACTTACTTCAATGATGTCAACGTCCGCGCTGGTGAAGTCGACGTTCAGCAGCCTGGGGAGGGGAACCCCCGCTCCCAGCACGCCTGTGGGTCACAAGCCAGCCCAGCTCAGTGCCGCGGGATGGGGGGTCGCTGCCGAGCTTCTGCCCGGGGCTTGGTCCCCAGCTCCATCCTCCCGGCATGCAAAGCCCTCCCTCCGCGAGTGCAAGACTCTCCAGAAAGGCTTTGTGTCATACTACACCTGCATAAATTCAGCGTCTAGGGTACGGCCTAGCACAAACGAATATGTGAACAAGGTATAAGAGCTTCCTTACTGTTCAGTGCAGGCAAGAAGGCAACATCAAAAATCTGGCCAACGAGCATCTCCAGGGACGAGACCTGCAACGGGGAGAGGGGTGGCTTGGTGCCACTGCTGGTCCAGGTCCCGTGGTCAGCCCAGCTCGCCCTGTCCTCAGGCACGTGGGGATGCTCCGCTCACACCAGCTAAACCCAGCCTGAAGCCTTGGTGCTCCAGCTCCACACCCACTTAATGCAAGCTCCCAGTTTCACAGAAGTTGGACTTTAAGCATTCTATGGTCAATTTTCAGTCCCAAAATAATGCCATTCCACAGGCCCCTTCCCCCTGGCATTAAAGCTGCCTGCAGTAACCACCCCTGGAAACCAAACGTGCTCTGTCTGCAGGTGTCCTGCGATAGGAGAGCCCAGGATTCCTCCCAGCTTTTGCCGTTGTCCCCAGTGAGGCACAGGGACGAGCCTCCCCAGGCACATCCCAAGGGGACGTCGTGGGCATGTGCGAGACGTCCTGTGGTTCCCTGAGGACCCAAAACCTCTCCCTCTCAGTGAGGATTTTTTCTGAAAATTGCTCATGGATCATCCATAAAAAAAATCCATCTCCAGAGGTGAAAGAAAGGTGCTATTAAAAATACGACACAACCGTTAGACCATAATTGGCCCTTATTTCTCCCGAGGCAATATCTATCAGCACTCTGCTTTCTGCAATGGATTTTGAGTGTTGCTGAGGCTGCTTGTTTTCTTACATCAAAACCACCGATGGACGACGACACCAAGGAGAGATCAGCCCTGCAGGAGAAAGCAGAGGTGAGTAAAATTGGAGCAGTTCCTCTGACAACCCAGTCCTGTCAATGCCCTCATCGTTGCGCAGCCCAGGAGGTCCCACATCCATGGCCACCCTGGCCACCTCACAGATGAAGACCAGTGTCCTACTTCTCCAGGCTGACGCCGATCTTCAGTTTGTTGTCCTTGACCGAAAACTGGGCCAGCAAGGAGGTGTCCTGCGGTGAAACAGAGAGGTCAGGGCACGGGTGGCTCTTCCAGCCCTTGCCCAAGCCCAAGCCTGCAGCCCAGCCGTGTCATGCCGGGTGCAGGTCCCATCTACCGGCACCCCTGCACCCACTGTGCAGGGAGGGGGAACCGCAGGAGGGATGTCTGCATGGGTTGCTCCTTCATACATACAATATTCAGAAGGCAGAGAGACCTCTGGACATCATCTGGGTGGATCACCACCACCTCTGCGGTAGCCGTGAGCTGGATCACACCTTTATTTTTCTTTAAGGTCACCACAGGTGCTTCAGGGACTGCAATTTTCAGCAGCAATTCACATGACTCGGGGTACACCTCGAAAACCTGTCAACATCCAAAGGTGGAAAGTTTCTGTGGGCAGGAGCACAGAGAGTGCTGAGACTGGACCAGGCAGAGCAAATGAGTAACCAGGAGCCAGAGGGCAGGCTGCCTGCTCCGGCAGCATTTGCAGAGTGCTGCTCCCGGGGGCAGATCTGGCCCTGAATTGCTCCAGTCCAACAAGTTTGCATCTCAGCTGGCTGAAGTGAAGCCAAGCTAGCTGTGTGCTCAGCCCATGGATGCCCTGGGTCTCGCTGAGAGCATCTCATCCCGGTCGGAGGCCCACAGACAGCCCCGCATCCAGGCGGAGGGGGCAGCTGCAAGGCTCATCCGTGACCCGAGAGGGATGCAGAGGACAGGGTGACAAACCGGGCTCTGGCCTGCCGTGGCTTCCAGTTTTGGACCTAAGTCAGCTCGTTCAAGTCCATGGGACATCGGAGATGATGCCTCTGAGGAGGAAGAGACAGGGAGACCTCCCCTGCCCGGGACACTGCTGCTCTGACCGGGTTACTTGCAGTGCAAGGGGGAACCAGGACTCACCGCAGGAACCAGGGCTCCCAGGGTCGATGTTGTTAGCGGCGGGAGCTCAGGAAACTGTGACAGAGAAGAGAGAAACGCTGCATGCCTGTGTGGTGGTTTTCAGCAGACTCTGCCTCCACCAGCAGCGTGCCTGAGGGGGTCAGGCTCATGGCCTCTCACTCACTTTTTTCATCTAAGATGGCAGAGACCCTGATAAATGGCACAGAGGTGCTAAGGCATTGCGCGGTGGGACCAGTTTGCGTGGCTGCCAACCCTGAGTCCTTCCAAACCCAGAGCTAGGCAGTGGTCCCCGCTCACCATGCCGGTGGAGATGTCCAGGTCCAGGGCACCCTCCTTCTGCAGGGCCGACAGCACCGAGCTGAGGAAGTTCACAGAGAGGCCCAGCTGGGAGGAGCTGGTGTCCGCCATCGGTGGCAGGGGAGGCACGGGGACCCGTGGTGGTGTGGGGACAGCTTCTGGCTTTCCCAGCGGATAGTCCACCAGACCTCCTGCCACTCGCCTGACAGCAGTCTGGAGTTACAGGGGAAGGAAGCACAGGCCAAAATGTTTGCAATATTTGCCTTTACGGTTCACTTCATGTTCCTTCAGCATGAAATTGCTGCACGCACGACCACGCCAAGTCAGGCCCTGTGACACGTCCTTCTCCAGAGGTTCATGAAATGTAAACCCTGCTGCGTTCTCCCGTGACAGCGGCAGCAGCAAGAGCAGGGCACCGAGCCGGGACCTCCCCAAGCTTTTCACAGCCACCTCGGAGCCCGCTGCTCGGGCGCAGGTGGCCCCAGGGACAGCCCGAGGAGCCCTTCTCAAACCCGAGTGAAATAGCACACCCCCTGTACGTGGATGGAAGGAGAAGATGCAGGACTTACGTTCAAGTCTACCTCGAGGAACTGGCTGGTTACCAGGGGAAGGCTGGACACGGTGTACTGGATACCACCCAGCAAACCCAGGGGCACCAGTGCTGGGGGGAGAGGAAGGGACTCAGCGATTCCCCGCTGGGCTCGGGTGCCAGGACCCCTCCCCTGCCCAGCAGCTCTTTTTTTCCAGAAGAGCCCTGGCTCGCAGGTGGGCTCAGGAGAGCCGCTTGGCTCCGGCCCCCAGTGCGCTGTGCTCAGCGGTAACGCCGCAGGAGACGTCGTTTCCCTAACGAGCAGTGCGTACTACTGCTGCAGTGGAGGGGACAGCTCACAGCTCACCCCACCGATGCCACCCTTATGCACCCAGGGGTCCTTCTGTCCGTGATTAGAGACAGAGAAAGGGGAGACGTGGGGAGGGGACAGCATCCCTGCGGGCACGCTGGGGCACTGCTCCCTGGCTGCTGCCCGGGGGTGGCAGGGAGCTGCCCGGGGGCACCGCTCCCTGCGCAGGGCAAAGCTGGGGTCCGTGGGGCGAAGCGGGGGGGTGCTTTTCCTGCCTGGGGTGCAGCAGGGGGGATAGTGTCACAGTCCTCGCACGGCCAGAGCGGAGGTGACACGAGGGGGAAGGCAGAGAAAGGCGTGGGACCCACCAAGTACTCACAGTTCACAAGACCCAGCTTGTCATTGACGAGTCCCAGGGCGATGTCAACCACCGGGCAGAGCTGCAAGAGTCGGGGAGGGATGGTGAGTAACCTGCGTTCAGAGCCGTACAAGGACATGCAGCCCAGCTCGGCTCTGCCGCACTTTCCCTGGGAAGGGGAGCACCAGGTGCATGGGATGGCAGTCCCCGCTGCTGACTCCATGGTGCTGCTGAGGCTGCACCAGCTCTGGATCTGGCCCTGGGCCCTTTGTCAGAGAAGTGGGGTTAGGACTGGGTCCCGGGAGCCCATGTGGGGTGGCTGGAGAGACCCTGGGGCTTTCAGGAGGGAGGAGAGATGCAATTAGCCCATGACACAGTCCAGAGCATCGTCAGAAACTCCCAGGCACTTGGGCAGACCTGCGCTGGGCTTGCTGACCTGGCATTTGGAAGGAGGGAGCAGCTTCTCCCAAGCAGATGGAGACATGGCACCGTCCCCTGCTAATCCCAAAGCACCGGGCAGGCGGGTGGATGCAGCAGCCCTGGGACAGCGGCCATGCTCCCGCTCTGGGACAGGAGCGATGCCGCAGGGAGCTGCACTGCAGCCTTTCGGACTCATTGCTCCTTTCCAGGGTGGAGGTTTTTTCCAACTTACCACATTAGGAAGAAGTCTGTTCAGGACACTTGCCAATAAATTATCCACAACTGGGAGCAGGCTGTGGAAAAATAAAGGAGCAGCATGAAAAAAACTATTGCAAAGTAAATGGGTCTTGTTAAACAATTCCCTGTGAACAGTGCGGAGCGCAGACCTCCCGGAGCAAGGCAAATGCAGCAGCAAAGTGCATCATGTATGCTTGGATTTTGCATGAGATAAGTGTAATTTGCATCCCAAAATAGCCAGTGGGAAATTATTGCTGCCTTTTATCTACTAGTGTATAGTCTCCTTAAATGAGCAGAAGCAACCTCAGCCCGCGTGGTTTCTATGATTTACATACTATGTGCTTATGTCTTAGAAGCCCCCATGCGATGTCAGTTAAAACGGCCCATGAATGCGGCACTTGGGACAGAAATGTTCCCCCCCCCAGGACCGCCACGGGGTTGTGCAGCCCTCTGGGACAACACGTCCATTTGTCGCAACTGGGCAAGGGGCACACGGGGACCACCACCACCAGCAGCCCTTTCCTCAGCCCCGTGATATGGCTGGGGGGGGGCGGACTGTCCCCTGCGGGGACGGCGCCTGCCGGTGTCGCAGTTGCCTGTGGGACTCGGACGCGCAATAGGAAATGCCCTCGAGCATTCGCCGTTCTGTGGGCATGGGCTGGGGGCCGGCAAAGCCCGGTGGCGAGGTAGCTCACGCTGGCAGAGGACACCTCCATCACTCACCCTCTCAGGAGTCTGACTTTAATGCCACCAAGGAGGGTATCACATCTTTCTGTCACCAGTTTGGGGCAGCCCATGCCATCCATGGTTAGCCTGACCCTTGATGTGATGTTCACTTCCACTGCGATGTCGAGCAAACCCAGGAGGCTGTGCAAGGGGAAGGGAGCGACCTTCAGCGGAGCAGCCTCTTCCCGGCAGACAGGAGCAGTGTCCCCCCACCGGGGACACCCCTCGTGGTGGTGCTTCCACCGGGCCCGGGGGCACGGCTGGCACTGCCACCAGCAGCACCAGCACCAGCCTGACCTACCTCTTGGCATTGAGGGCCACCCGGGTGTAGAGGTTGAGGTGGACGCCGATGCCAGGCAGGAGCCGCAGGGACACCCTGGGGACCGTCAGCTCCACGATCCTCAGCCTGTGGGTACAGTGAGGGGAGCACCAGGAATGATGGCTCTGAGCCCACCACCCCGCCATCTGGCCATTTAGACCAGAAATGGCAAAAGACACCAAGTTTTCTCAGTTATTTTCCTGTTCTAGCTATTTTCCAGTTTTATCAGAAGCTTTCTTCTAGTTGCCTTATTATTGATTGTGCTTGTGCTTCTGCTTGGTGCTGGGCTAAACTAAGAGTTAAAATGGGACGGCTGCAAACAAGCGAGCATCGGTTTGGCAGCGGTGGCACTGGCTCTGCAGGGCCAATGTATAGTTCAGTGCACCCTCTACAGGCAAGCGCCTTTCAACTACTGTCTCCTTTAACTTTCCTTGTGTAGATCAAGAGGCTCTTTTGCAGCCAGCAATGCAAACCTGGTGGGACTTCCAGGCAACGTTCATCTCAAAGCATCAGCTCCAAACCAGATCTGAGCCTCTACTGAAGCACCACCATTGCTGCCCCCAAACAGCTCTGAGGTTGCCCCCCTGCAAGGAGCCCAGACGGTGCTGTCCTTACCCGGTGAGCCCCTGGACCGTGCTGAGCAAGCCGCCTTCCCCGAGGACGCCGAGCAGGCCGCCGCCTCCCAGCAGCCCTCCGTTGCCCAGAAGTCCTCCTCTGCCAAGAAGGCCACTGGGGCCACCGAGGATCCCTGCCGTGCCGAGGAGACCTCCGTCACCGAGCAGACCTCCTTGTCCCAGTGCTCCTCCAGCAACCCCCGTGGGGATGCCACCCCCGGGGACATCACCACCAGCTGCTGGCCAGCCTCTGGGAGGGTTTCTGGAGCCCCCCTCATAAGCACCTCCACCACCTCCTCCACCCAGCAAGCCACCACCAGCATCACCCCCTCCATCAAGCAGACCACCAGTCAGCCCCCCCAGCAGCCCTCCACCACCGCCACCCAGCAAACCACCAGGAATACCACCAAGCAGACCACCACCACTGCCACCACCACCAAGGAGACCTCCTCCGAGGCCACCCAACAGGTCTTCACTTCCATCTGTGCCGGGATGTCCACTCCCGAGCGGCACCTCTCCGAGGACACCTTGGAGGGCATTGCCTTGCCTGAACGAGCCTGTAAGAGCTGGAAACATCGCCCACCATCAGCCTGCGAGACAGAGCTGCGTCCCCGGCCCCCACTGCAGCCTTTGAGCAGTGACTGGCAGGCAGCTGCCGGCCCCCTGCCCACACTGTTACTCATTGTGCTCCTCAAGCACGGGTTGCCAAGGGGTTTGTGCTCTCCATGACCATCGCTGCCTATTCCAGTCCCTAACTGTCCGCTGTCAGTTTTTCCCATGTATGATGCAACAGCAAAAGGGCTCCAGGACAGGAGGCACCACGTTGAGAGCTGCGTAAAGAACCTCGGGGGAATTTGCCTGCAGCCGCACCAGTAAGACGGCAAATGGTGTGGCACAGTCACGGGGTGGGCACTGATAAAGCCTAAATGTGAGATAACTGAGGTGCGGCTCACGCCTCCTGAGAGGTGCAGGTCCCAGGCGGAGCAATCCCGACACGGGCAATGTCTCTGCTTTTAGAGCCTGGCCGATTGAAATTTTAATTACAAAAAAATTACTCCAGGTTCAGTTTGGAGGAGGAGGTTTGCACGCAAGCCTCATGCTCTTCCCCTTCCATGTGCAATTCCCGTCCCTTTCCCGGCTGATCGGGCGTGCTGGTACCACGGCGGCAACCCCCAAGGACCACCGTTGGTTCCCATTTCCCAGAGTCCCGCTAAGAGGAGGCAGAGGGACTCACCATCGCTTAAAACACCGTTACTGAGCCGCAGGACGGCATCTTTTGGCTCACTTCGTGACGTGGTCAGCAGGGCACATAAGAGGGCGATGCCCAGCGCCGGCGCCATGGTGTCTTCTGCTCGGCTGGGAGCGCTGTGGGTGCCAGCAGGACCTGGGGAAGGACAAGGGGAAAAGAGCGGGAATAGTCTGGGCGACCCCCTGGAGATGAAGGGGAGTCAGATATTTCAAGCTGGCTGAAAATTTTTCAGTGAATAGAAGACGTGGGCTTTAGGAGGACCCAAACCGTTCACGAGTTAGAGCCACGTTCCGCAGACAGGTCTGGACACACACAAAAGGGGCGCAGAGGGAGGGCGTCCATGTGCACATCTGCAGGGACGGTTTCGAGCACAACCCCAGCACCTGTTTGCTTCTTCCCGTTGATGGGCACCCCGGGCGACCTGCGCCTTGCCGCCCCTGGTCACCGTGACATCATTGCAAACTTGCAGTATGAAATCGTTACTCATAACCTATAGACTACACTGAGCTCCCCTCGCTAATAACCGCCCTGCGAGGAGGCACGCAAATCCATGCGGCAATTATACAAGCAACTCACATTTGGAATAAAGCCTTTCTTTTTAAAATGGCGTGTTTTAACCTTATAACAATAGAGATGATAATAACAACCTTAAGAGCGTATTGCAACACAAAAAATCCCTAGCTTTTGTGTCAAATGAATGTGGCTTTCTTTAGAGAAGGGTTTTCATTTTACTATAGCAACCTTCTTTTCTGATTTTTTCAGGCTAGTCACTAAATACAAACTAGAATTACTTACTTGCATTTCTACCATTATTGGTATTTTTCCCATGTTTTTTTCCTTGCTCACCAGAGAATACTGTGAGGCCCGCAGGTGAAATGGTGGCTCTGTCCTCCCAAGCTTACGACACCCTGTACCACCATTTTGACCATATTTACCTGGTCTTATCCCGAATTTCAAAGCCTGGCTTTGGTCTTCAGTGCTCAGCTCTTGGTCAAGGGGAGACCTTACAGCTGTCCATAGGCACTTCTGCTTTAACGTGTAGGAACAGCAGGTCCTTATATAGCGAAGCTGATGTGGAAAAAAGTGGAAAGATGCCTGAATTGCAAAAGCTGGACAGGTGGATTGAGTGTATAAAGCAGAATTTGTGGTTTTAATATATTCCAGCATAAATAAAGATTTGTAAAACAGGGAACAACATTGAGCAACAGGTTACTGGATGCCCAGTTATCAGCCAGGGCTGTTACCCAAGAGCCCAGAGCTAACGCCAAGGCGAAGGAGCCCGAGCCTCTGCGGGCTGCAGCATGTGAAGCTGCCGCTGATCCCAAAAGAGCCGTGCTGGAAAATCAGCTTATTCCAGACAAATCCCTGCTAACACTTGCACTCAGGCAGTCACACACAAATTACTGTGTCAGGGGAATTTTTCAAGTTTCCAGGGGAGGCTCCAGAAAAGCACCAGATTTTTATCTCCTTTAACGTTCAGCCCAAGAAGCAATTCCTGAGGACCATCCCACCCAAGAAGAGGTTCCTGAGGACCATCCCACCCGTCCCCGCAGCCGCCAGCCGCTTCCCCGCAGTGGGTATTTCCACAGCCTCAGAAAAGCCCCTGTGCGGTGGGACATGCGATCCACACCTCAGCTCCAGACCATAAGGGCGCTTTTGTCCTGGTGTCCTCAACACTTAATACCTTTGCGAGATAAAAAGCACTGCTAACAACCCAGTGCATCTTACACAAGGGGATAATACGCTCCTAAACAAAGCAGCAGGGAGGTGTAAGCTCAGTTTATCTGTGCCTGGCTCCGTACAGAGCCTTGCACCGCAGGCACTGCTGGGCTCCATGCGGGACGTGCTGCAAACGAGCCCCCGGCAAGGAGCTGCTCCCCCCGCAGCGGCTGCCATGAAGTCTTCAAATGAGCAGGAAATACCAGCAAGCCCTTTGCTAAATCTGCGCCGTTGTTGCATTGCGAGCACCTCCTCTGCGCCCATCAGCCTGGCGCGAGCAGCCCCAGCGCTGCTGCAGCCGGGCAGGGGATGGGCTGCAGCAGGGCACCCATGTGCACCAAACCCCAGCGCCCGTGTGAGGCTGAGCTTTGAAAACGCTTTCTGTAAGGCATCGGCTTGTTCCCTGTAGGTACAGCCTCCTCTTCGAGCTGCGCTGCCTGTCCGCGGGCCGCATGGCGTAGGGGCATGGCCAGAAACCCATGAACATGGCGTATCAAATAAACATTTAGAGAGGGAAATACTGAGGCAGTGAAAGATTTTATTGAAAGAGCAATATGAGAGCAACTTTTATGCCTAAAGAAGAGCTCTGCTTCCTGACTATGAATGTTAAAACTGGCCACAGAAAACCCTCCCTACCATCCAACAGCTGAGCAGCTTCCCCTGCGCCCGTGCCAGGCTATGCCAGGACCGGCCGACCAGAGACGGTCGCCAGTGCCCTTTGGGCCACGGCGATACCACAGGGCAGTGCTCAAGGGAACATGAAGATGGAGAGAGCAGAGATGAGCAGGGCTCTGGGGCTCACGGCACGTTGCCTGCCTCAGATGGAGAGCAGGGTCGAGGATCCTCCTGAGCAGGACCCTTTTAGAGAGGTCTGGTCAGGAGAGTTGTCCGCCTGGAAGAAGCAGCACAAAAACTATTCAGTTTTCTCATTCGGACCTTTGCCAGCTTTTCCCATATCCCAGGTGAGGTTTTCCTGCGGGTCCATGCAGGCAGAGGGACCTCCTGGAAACCGGGAGCAGCCCATGGGAGATGGGCTGGCCGGGGTGGCGTGGGGCTCATCCCCTGGCTCCCCGGGAAAGCAGGGCTGCGGGAAGTGTGATCCTTACGTCGGTGATGTCAACCCTGGCGTTGCTGAGGCTGCTGTTGAGAATGTTGGGCAGAGGGACCGACACACGCAAGGCCTCTGCAAAAGCAAGTGAAGGCATCTCATCACGGGGGGAAACCCCGAATGCAGGCAGTGAGGGAAGGGGGAGAGCCCCAAATCCAGCTGAGTTTGAGAGCAGAGGGGACCCAGGCCCCGGCCGTACCGTTAATCGCAGGTACGTATGCAGCCGCAAGGACTTGCTTGAGCCACCCTGCAAGCGGGGAGACCTGCTGGGAAAGACGACGCGTGTTGGTATCAGAAGAAAGCAGCGGTTATTGGGATGAAAACAGCGATGTCAGGGTTAACAATTAGGTTCTGTCGCTGCAGGATGCTCAGAGCTACGAAAGACAAAGGCTGAAGTTTCCTTCAATGAAACTCTTGCAGGACTGAGGGCGGGGGGATACACAGGGACATGCTCTTCGGGTAATTTCTTCTTGATTATTCCTCCCCCTTTCCCAGCACCCCCAGTGCACTGCCAACAAGTGAACATACACATCCAAGTGTCACTGCTATAGGGCATAGGGGATCGGCAGGGCAGACAGCAAGTGGCCTCTGCCAAGAGAAGAAGAAACATGAAGACTGAAGAAGAATTGGCATTTTGGCGCTCCCTCCCTACGCAGAGCCTCTGGCCATCACATCGCTCGCTGCAGCGCCTCGATCCAAAGCAGCATGCACTTACGCTGAGAGGGTCGAGTCTCAGGGGTGCCTGGGTCAGGTTGATGCTACAAAAGATGAAAACAAGGCAGGGTTGGGGTGCATGGGTGCAGCCCTCCTCCAGCTTTCCACATGCTATCAGACCCTTTCTTGGTCTGGAATTTGTCTCATCCACATAAATATACAAGGATTTTGGAAACAGGGTAACTTTTTTAAAGCCTCTCTCATCCCCTCAGATGTGCACTTGGTCTGAGGTCGGGGCTGGAGGAGGCAGGAAAGCTCCGGCAGCCCCTTACGTCCCTACCACGTCTACATCGCGGTCCCCGATTGCCGCCACCAGCCCCATCTTGTCGGGTTCCTGGGAGCGTCCCCAGGCAGAGCCCCCTCCCTCCCCACAGCGACCGCGAAGCTCAGCTCTACCTGTCGAGAGCCAGGGAGGTTTGCAGTTTGCCATCAGAGACCAACGGGACGATGTTCAGAACGATGTCCTGAAATTGGAACAACGGAAGGAATGAAGTTAGTTCCCCACGTAACTCCCAAGACTGAAAAGGAAACTCAGAGTATTTGTAGATAACCCATTCCAAGAAAAAACACCTGTCTCTGCCTAGAAATTGCATTTTTTTGATGGATGGCATCATGTATATCTCTCCCCAGGGTTCACCTTTCCTGTCCTTATTTTGTATTATTCTTTAAACATTTCACTTGCGCTTGGTTACGAGCATTTTAAAAGGACTGGGCCCCAGCGCTTTCAAGCTGTACTGGCTTCAAAAGTACAAGGACTACACGGCCACGGCAGGACAAGGCGAGCGATGCCGGAGAACAGCCAGGCTCACCCCTCGCCCTGTCTAGGAGGTCTCGTCCCCCGGGAGCACACTCACCGTGTCGAGGGAGAAGAGGGGCCTCTGGGAGGACTGCAGGGCGGGACTGAAGATGTCAATGGAGGCTTTGAGGGTGGCGGTGGCTCTTCTGTCCCTGACGGCCACCACTGGCTTGTCGGCCACCCGCACGCGCAGCTCCAGCGGCAGAGAGCCGGGGAGGATCCTGGCGAGCTGCACGGGGCAGGGGGACGTCAGGGCCAGGGGGTCTTTGCATGGCCGGGGAGGGCGGAGGGGTTGGAGATCAATGCACACAAAGGAGGTGGCTGACCTGGGGGATGAGCGGGAGAAGGGCAGAGGTGGACAGCGAGATGCTACTGGGCACCTGCGGGGACAGCACCAGCGGCGTTGGCGGCCGGAAGGGTTTGTGCAAAGCCCACACTGGGCTCGGCTGTACCCCACAAACACAAGCACGCGGTGGCGAGCACCCTTGGGTCACCCAAGAGCAACCAGGACCCCGACCTGGCCCTGGAGAGGGGTGTCGCGACCCACCATCAAGTTGGTGATGCTGAGGCTGAAGGCTCCCTGCCGCTGGACTGACTCCAGCAGGACGTCGAGGGTGCGCTGGGAGAGGCTGAGCTGTGGCGGGCGGCCGGTGGCCAGCAGCAGGGTGGCGGCGAGCGGCGGTCCCTGAGCGGAGGCCACCACGCCGCCCTCCGCGTCCCCGACGGGGAGCTGTAGGGGACAGAGCAGGGGAGG